ACTGAGTTATAGCACGGACTTATATACACATGTGTATATAAGTCCGTGGTTATAGTGACGATAGCAGGTTTATTGTCCTACGACCTCGGTGTCAGAAGTCATAAACCGCTGATAACTAGATACTAAATGCTGCCCGATTGGTCAGTGAGCCTCTTTCTTCCGGAACCCAATCGGTCTGTCATTTTCACCAAGGGCCAAAAATACAGAGCAACACTGCAATATAATGAATTGTATATTTGGGGGTGAAAGGTCAAGGTCACTTTATCTAATTTGAATTCTTTATTGAAAAATAGCTCTCAGTCAGGTTAAACATACCGAAACTGAACTACCATTCACCATTTCAAAACTTAACGATTACATTATTATCGAAGGGCCTAAATGAATTTTGATTCTGAAAGCAGGTAATTGTTTTAACATGTTGCTTCACAATAAACATTTAAGGACGTTCAACGATAATCATATGCCCCAGACTTGTTCTCGCGCAAACGTTCCCAGTGTCAGATTGAGGATCCCCAATAAAACGGACCTTCAATCTGTGAAATCTGACCTGTAGCATCCACTTGTACATGACATTGTTTGTTACAAGTCTCAGCAGAAATGGGCTTCGGAGTTACATTTATAACATTATATCGCTTGACACGCCATCAATTCCAATGCTTCCACGTTTTTTTCGGCATTGCTGTAAGTTTGAATGGCAATGAGGTTGGAGTTCTTCCGACGTCAGAAAATACCAGCTCCGTTAAGAATTTTTTATGACTAAATCGTAGACGCCGTTTTCTTTAGGAGGTATCAAATGACTGGTAAATAAATGGTGTCACATGACCTAGTGTGAAGCAACAGGTGCCCTGTGTATAGGTAATTTGGTCTCTGATATTGATTCGGCAGTTAATATAAACTGGCAAAATGATTTATCTCCTGAAATATCTCATTTAAAATACTCGATATTAGTTTTAAACGGAATGTATTATAATTTAAAAATAATTTATATTCAAGTCTTTGTGGCTCCGTGTTTACTCCTTCAGAATCACATACGTATATGTATATCGGCTTTCACTGTCGGTTTTTGTAACGTCTAGCCATAAGACATTTGTATCCTTTAACATAATGTCTAAATGCACAGAAGTACCAAGTTTATACTAACAGATATTCTACATCTCATGAAATACAGCACGTACAAACTTGTGTTTGTTTACTCTGATGAGTCTAATGGATCAGAGAAATAAAGAACTTGGAGCACGAACTTTGCACTTCGGTCGTTCTCACTTCAATTTGTCTGGTTTACGCGTTACAAGATTCAATAATACTTTTATACAATGAGTACAGAAATGACAACCTGTATTAATGTATTAAACGGTCCCTTTCTTATCTGAAACTAACGTTACTATACTATCTCCATATGAAATTAAAAGACTGTCTTTTGCGACAAAATTAACGTTTAGGCGAAATATATATTAACATATCGTTAATGATTGACGACTTTCGAAAATCTGGATAGCTACGGATTTAATGGGTTCATAAAAAACGAAGCGTTACTGAAAGAAAACTCTTTAGATTTTATACACTCCTGGCAAATTTCCAGAACATGTTCACATTAATAAACATCCAAATTAGTATTTTTCACCTGCTTAAGCTTGTCACATGCCGGTCATGTTTTTCGGAGTTTGGTAGATTTCCAACATTCCGGACATAATTACGTCAGATTGGTTGATAGGAGTGTCGGAACTGGACACGTACATATATTGCATAAACACGTGTTGGTCATGGTATAGAGAAATGGGTTAGTGGGAGAGGGCGGGGAAAAAATACTGGGATGATAGAGGACGCTTATAACAACTAGGACGGGTAGGATTGATAAAATTTGTTACCGGTAACTGAGTGAGATCGGGATATCTCCGTCGAGGGCCAAGATCCTGGTAACATCCTAACTTCGGTTGAATTATGTTACAGGATCTTAGCCTGAGACTGAGATACCCCAATCTCGCTCAGTTACAAGTAATAGATTTTTTTTCTCGCACCTACTACACTAAAATTTATTCAATATTTCATCAGAGTTTGGCGTATCCCGTGGGAGCCTCAAACTACCTACACAGCCTCTTCACTTTTAAACAACGTTTGGATAGTGCCGCGTAAACAATGTAGGTAGCACTTACCTTTTACAATGAAGATCTTATTTTATCTACAATGGCAGGAAAATGATTAATTTAATAGAATATCGTTGAAATAACCTACGGTTTTTGTTGAAATGCACGAGTGAAGGCGACACCCACGCCTACATGCGGGTAAATACACCGATGCGTAAAATAATCCGCGAAAACGCACGTAAATCAAGGATGGGGTATTTCGTGGGATATCCCTGACTGAAGTGCGAAAAAAAAACATTTGGGTATCAGAAAAAAGGGGATTGATCATGACGGGACGTTAGCGGAGTATGGTGAAGTGTGTTAAGAAATGTGTGAGAGGTTGTCGACGAATGTCCAGTGGGGAGTGTAAGGATAAAGAGGACAGGGAATGGACACAAGGATATCCTGGGGAGGAATATAGCCTTAGAGAGAGTAGTTGATGGACATGTGGGTGCTCAGGGCATAGAGTATGAACTCGGAAACAGGAAATTGACGGAAAATGGACAGACAGGTCAGGGACTGGACACACGGATGTCCATGAGGCGGGATATAGATGAAGAAGTGAATGCAAATACATATGTACAGGATATAGAGAGTACGGATAGAGAGATCAGAGAATGGACACAAGGATGTTCAGGGGGAGGAGTATGAACACAAGGGCCAAAGAAAAGACAAAAAGCTGACTATAGGCGGGTTATTGCATGATTCTTTATTTCCAACTGACAGAGAGATATTGACAGAGGGGTTTGGGTAGTCGTCAGGGGTATCCTGTTTGACTCTTTATTTTGTGCTGACAGAGAGATATCGACAGAGGGGTTTGGGTAGTCGTCAGGGGTATCCTGTTTGACTCTTTATTTTGTGCTGACAGAGAGATATCGACAGAGGGGTTTGGGTAGTCGTCAGGGGTATCCTGTGTGACTCTTTATTACGTACTGACAGAGAGATATCGACAGAGGTGTTTGGGTAGTCGTCAGGGGTATCCTGTTTGACTCTTTATTACGTACTGACAGAGAGATATTGACAGAGGTGTTTGGGTAGTCGTCAGGGGTATCATATGTGACTCTTTATTACGTACTGACAGAGAGATATCGACAGAGGGGTTTGGGTAGTCGTCAGGGGTATCCTGTTTGACTCTTTATTTTGTACAGACAGAGAGATATTGACAGAGGGGTTTGGGTAGTCGTCAGGGGTATCCTGTGTTATTCCTTGTTTTGTACTGACAGAGAGATATTGACAGAGGGGTTTGGGTAGTCGTCAGGGGTATCCTGTGGGACTCTTTATTTTGTATAGACAGAGAGATATTGACAGAGGGGTTTGGGTAGTCGTCAGGGGTATCCTGTGTGATTCCTTGTTTTGTACTGACAGAGAGATATTGACAGAGGGGTTTGGGTAGTCGTCAGGGGTATCCTGTGGGACTCTTTATTACGTACTGACAGAGAGATATTGACAGAGGGGTTTTGGTAGTTGTCAGGGGTATCCTGTGTTATTCTTTATTACGTACTGACAGAGAGATATTGACAGAGGGGTTTGGGTAGTCGTCAGGGGTATCCTGTGTTATTCTTTATTACGTACTGACAGAGAGATATTGACAGAGGTGTTTGGGTAGTCGTCAGGGGTATCCTGTGTGACTCTTTATTACGTACTGACAGAGAGATATTGACAGAGGAGTTTGTCAGGGGTATCCTGTGTTATTCTTTATTACGTACTGACAGAGAAATATTGACAGAGGTGTTCGTCAGGGGTATCGTCAGGTGTGATTCCTTGTTTTGATTTATAAGCTCCTAAACATGCATTTAAATTCACAATATTTGCTTATAAATTGCTTTAGATTTCCAATTTTTCTACATCTGTGGTTTTATATCCAGAGCTGCCTTTGTGTGCCATATTCATAATGTAACATTCTGTCTTGATTTAGCTGTTTAGAAGTTCAGATGTCTAACTTGGATAAGATATGACACAATTTTCACCTGTTTATAACCCCCATATCGTATATGTAGTTAGGGGCTACCGCGAATACTTTCTCGGTCATTTAAAAAATAATCATCCGAATCTGTACTCGCTATAAAATAGTGATGTTAATTCTCTCTGAACAATTTTTCCTAAAAGTTTGTTTTATATAAAAGCTGAACAAAACGTTACACTTTTGTTCGATTTTGCTCCTCTCAAAAATAAAAAAGGATCGCATATCTTCACTGTTTTTTTATATACAGTAAAGTTTATACAGAATATACTTGAAACAGTTCGGTTATTTTCCGTGAAACACGTTTAAACGTTGTTTATTAAAGCATTAAAGTTACTGTTTACACGTATCCCTAGATAGGTAATTTGGTCTGTTTGTGTCAATTATCAATCCTGTTGTAACGTAAAATCTAAATTATGACTGGTTATTGACTGGTTTCCGGATTATGTCAAGATCTGGTAACGATTAATATCCCGACATTCATTTTTAGATGCATTATCACTCAATAGAAACCACAAGGCAAACAACTCGTTATTTTAAACGTAATTATTCGACTGGAAATGTGCTCACAATTATTAATGTAAACTGATACTCATCGTGACGTCAGAGATGGTGAAATAATGACGTAATGAGTGAAATGAAAAGGTTTCGTCCTTTTCAATCACATTTTCACAGATGTGATATTTAACACAATGTTAAATGATACAATGGCTGGAATTTCACACTTTTTGTTCGATCTCAAGTACAGGTAATGAGTCTTTTTTTCAGAAGCTATAAACTAGGAGTTAGTTGAAGGATTTTTTATCCTAAAATAACTGTATAAACCGAAGATTTGAAAAAAAAATTGTCGCAAAAAATGATAATAATGACAATATTTTTTTTTATATGAAATTTATTTATTTATTTTACTTATTTTACAGAGAAAGGAACTGAAAAACTTGCCGAGGTCGCACTACGTAAGTATCTGAAATTTGTGATAGTATTGACGATAAAACAACGGTCACATTCATTCCCATATCTAAATATCATACATACATAGACTGTACTTATGTTCATGTCATGTCATATATCAATACCATATATATATTCTACATATGTAAATATCAGACACTTATATTGTCTTAACATGTGTTCATATACTATCATATATTAATATCATGTATAAACCGTACATATGTTTATACGATAATTATACACTATAATTCTTAATGCCATACTTATATTACTTAATCTCGTATATTCACATTCTATCTATAAATCCTATGTTGATACATCGTGTATATAGATGAACGTTTAAAATTATATCTTCAAGCCCAATATCATAAGAGCTAAAGCTAAAACAGTTTCCTGTGTGGATTTGTGGAGAGTTGGTTTTTGGTTACTTTGTTACAGTTGTACGGTCGCGTGCACGGAAACACGTCACTGAGTACTTCAAGCGTATGTATACAAGTTCCTGCACGTGTAGAAATTTTACGAGTCTGTGCTTATAGTATCCCTTGGCTTACGGTTCTTGCCTAGTATAAACTGTTTCCCGCTTAACCCATTGGATAAGATTTTGAAATGCCAAGCTTTGTATTAAGCCTCTTTCTGGACATTTCAGTATGTGGCATCTTACCCGGATGTTGAGATTTTGTCTCACCGTCGTGTTAGGGTATGTGTAGTTATCTTTGTTCTGTCCCATTTTTCTGTTGATTTGTTCCGGATTTTGTTTGCACGAACGAACATGGTGACGGACGCAGGTCAACAAAATAACACATCGATATTATCAAAAGCTGAAGAACACTTAATTTTTACAAGTCAAATGTAAGCTGTCCGTTCTTCCGGTTAGCACCTGCCATCGGTTGTGGACAGGTTAAGTCCGTACGTGCGAAATGGCCGTGATCCTGTCTTGGATGGGAGAAATATCACCGTTTCGTTCCGGACGACTTTAATCAAACAAGTTCGATTTTTAAGTTTACAAGAAATATTGAAATCAAAATCGCGAGGACATGTGTTGTTATATGTATATTTATACTATGTCCTTTGTCAATAAAAAAAAGAAATTGAAATCGCTCTGATCAATATACGGTATTTAGAGAGCCGATATGTAACACCGATTTGAAACTAAATCCAGCTTGTTTTCATGTTTACTGTTTACTTGTTCCCTGATACGTCCAATGCGCGACAAGTGATTTTTTTCATTCATTAAAAATTTAATCATTAGAATGGGGAAGTATAGAGTTTCACATACATTCGTTAATCGATTTCCCAGTTTATGTAGACACTTTTTTATGAATTGGTTTTGGAACTCATTGATCTCGTTTTCAGTAGATTATGTTTGGTCAGGACCTTGTTGGTGGTTGTCGAATTAAAATGTACTTGTCCTTTTTCAGACAACATTAAGCGGTCTACGTGTTTACATTTTAATGGTGATGGTATGGATTTTACATCAATCGGGGAAAAAAATACCTATGTAATAAATAGCCGTCTTCAATACTTCAGCCTCTGAAAACTTAATAACCGCTCTATGTGTTTTTTTCTTGATGCTTTTGTGTTCCGCGGAATACTTTTACCGAAGTCAAAAGTAAGATCATATTATCAAACGGAGAAATGAGTGATCGTAAAAGATCAGTTTTCAGAATTTAGAGAGTAGGTCCAATTACAAAACTGAATGAAACAAATGCACCACTACGATCTCCTTTTTTGAAAACACTTCAGAAAGTCTAGATCAAGTGTCTGGAGTGTTGAAATGCATTTTAATGGAACCTATTTGGATCGTTTGTCTGTTTATAAACATGATGTTTATAACCGTGCCTTTCCAGCTGTCTACTTGACCTCCCCGTGTCTTCTCTGTGTGACTCTTCTCTGTATCCTATTTGTCTTATTTATACTTATGTAGGGTCTTGATATATTCAACAGCGGCTTTCCTCACTGTCTTGAAATATTCTACAGCGGCTGTCCTCACTATCTTGAGATATTCTACAGCGTCTGTCCTCACTATCTTGAAATATTCTACAGCGGCTGTCCTCACTGTCTTGAAATATTCTACAGCGGCTGTCCTCACTATCTTGAGATATTCTGCAGCGTCTTTCTCCTCTGTCTTGAGATATTCTACAGCGTCTGTCCACACTGTCTTGAGATATTCTACAGCGTCTGTCCTCACTGTCTTGAGATATTCTACAGCGTCAGTCCTCAGTGTCTTGATATATTCTACAGCGTCTGTCCTTAATGTCTACAGCCTCTTTCTCCTCTGTCTTGAGATATTCTACAGCGTCTATTCTCACTGTCTTGAGATATTCTGCAGCGTCTTTCTCCTCTGTCTTGAGATATTCTCAGCGTCTATCGACTTGCCTCAACAACTTTCTGCAGTGTCTATCTACCGGCTTAATACTATACATATCTACAGCGTCTTTCTACACTGTCTTGAGTGTTTGCTTTTGCGGTATGACAGTGTTTTGCGACCATTTCTTAATCCTTTAGTGAAAAAAGACTTCAACATTACGACACCTATTTTGACCTAGTTTGACCTAGTTTTGATCAAAATATTTATTTTTGTATTCTTCGGTATTTGATGACTTTCTCAAAGATTTTATTATTATTATTATTATTATTATTATTATTATTATTATTATTATTATTATTTTCCTCTAAGTTTGTAGAGTATTTCTGAATGTTTCTCTAATATACTAATATCTCCATATATATACAAAAATACACTATCACATAACAACTTTATTTTTTTACATTTTCGATTATTTTGCTCTTGATCCGGATTTTATTTATGTTTCTTTTGGTCACGTGGCAGATGGAATAACTTTATGTTATGAGTTACTGTAAGGTTCTGACGATCTCTTGCAGATTTTCAGGGGACGACAGCCCAAGTTCTGTAACATTGTGCAACAAGTGCAACTCCATGCACGTGAGTTACGGTCACCGACGCCGACGCGTCAGTTTGATGAGGACTATGACGATTTTGACTATATCCGGAAGTCGATCGATGGCGATATGCTCAGACAGCACCGGAAACACAGTGAAACTACCAGGTGAGAGTGATGTATTTTCATTTACGTCAAAGTACCTTCATGATGGATTTTACAAACCAGACAGAAAAAAACGACTACCGATTCATTAATTTGATTTATTAGTATATTTGGTTTATTCGGCCGATGTTATAGCACAAAACAAAAACGTTTATTTCAAAGTTAGTTTGGTACATATCCGTACTGTTGGAGTGTCAAATACGCATGCATTTGCAGCTGGAATCTTAATATGTCAAGTCAATCATACGCATTCATCATCTCACATTTTCCTAAAGTCTAGTTCCTGACTGAAATTTTAATCTTAAACGAATTTAGACCCAAAACAGCAGGCAAACTGGCACACCAGTTGGTCACTACTAGGTATACACAACCTACTGACCAACATTCTGCGTCACATCGACGTTTATCGCCGAAGCGAAAGTTAGGCAGCAGATCTAAACGTCGGGTCGGGTGAGCTGTACTTCGTGATTAATCGTTTTTTCCCCATTATTTTACATTTTTTTGTCTTTTTTACTGTGCTTGTAACTAAAACATTCTGCGAATATATTCTAAGTATCCTTTGTTATTTTCATTATTTTGACACTAGTTCACACTTACAAATAGAAAAAAAAAACAATCAAATAAACAAATAGTAATAGATTTGCCATTGTTTGTTACGCAGTATCTGCCCATATACTGATACACATTCAGATTGTTCGGACTCGCTAGTGCCACCCCTAGCGACCTGTGTATTTTGTATAATGTTTTCACAAGTCGGTGTGTGGACGATTCGTACTTAATCTGTGTTTACTACCGAAACACATCTAGCTAGCGAGACCGATCTTGACAGATCTAACAGAAAATAGTGTTAAATCCAAACCAATTATTCAATTTCATTCCATTATATGTCAACACTGGTTACGTTTTTAATTCCCTTTAGGTGCCTTTTAGTTAGTATGCCATTCACTTTAAGTAAAAGTAAACATTATTTTGACTTTAAATACAATTGTCGGGGCCTCTTTTCTCTGTCCACTTTGAACTGACCGTTGGTCAAAATATCTATGTAATAGGTGACTGAAGATTGAAATTAATGATATGTTTCGCAACACCGAATCAGCGACGGAATAAACGATCTCGAGACGCCATCAGCGCACTTCTCCCTCCATGGAAACTGTTGGGGAAAATGCTTACATGGACATATCCATGGTCAGAAAGTATTGTTTTTTCAATATAAGGTTTCCATCGTGGATTGTACGGAACGAAACTACAACTAGTCCGGTAAACACTATTGAAATATAATCATGAATATGATTGGTTCTAACAGTGGTACAGAGGAACACAGTTTTGATGACGTGGACTTCAGGAGAATCGAAGTTCCGGTTGAGGGCGAAGAGTAAGTGATGCCCATATTCCGGTGTGGAACGTTCCGCGTGCACGTGTAACTCAACACCTAACAATATATATCTATATATAGACAATCTAACCTCCCCGTTATTCATAACAATGTCTAGTTAACGTTACAAATCACTTTTATTTCCGTTTGTGTATGTTTACACATAGACGTGCTGTGATTACCTGACTGTACTTAACAATTCAATTACTTAACACTCGTCTTTGTAAAAATATCAATGTATATATATATATATATATATATGTATTCCATTCTGTATGATTTGTTGTTAGTATCCTTAAATTCCTGATTATCAGTTTGACGTCAGTCTTGAATTTTATATTTTGCACAATACTGCAGCTGTTTTATTCTTCTGAGGTTCCAGAAACAAATTCCAAAGCTAACGTGCACTATTGTTTAATAAATTCTTAATATTCATGTATCTTATTTGAGGAAGACACATTATATACGTAAAATCTTCACCGTGTCACTAATCTAATGAACTAAAACGTGCCATGAGTGTTATGTCAAACCCTGGGGACTATAAGCTCACCATTATGGTATACCGCCTGTAATTAGCACATTTAGATATAAAATTAAATATGGTAGAGCCAAGCAATGAATTAAACTGCATCCTACAGCTTTTACATCCTTCTATGATTATGAAACTTATAATTAGACAATTAAACTGAGACAAAGTCATCATTCGGTCTATAAATAAAACATTACGCACAATAAGATGCATTACTTCATTATATGGTAACTTAAGATACCATAACTAATAGTGATATTTTTTTATCAAAATATGAATTGACGAATATTTAGTGACACAATTAAGGTCTTGTAATGTCATAATAAATTAAAGACACCTGTATTAATGTCCCTGCAAAGGACTTGTCCCGACGTTGTGCCTTGTCTCCATAATATGAATTGTCCCTAAATAGTGTATTGTCCCTACATTGTGAATTGTTCCTACATTGTGAATTGTCCCTATAACGTGAATTGTCATTACAATATAAATTGTCACTACAATATGAACTGTCCATACAAAGTGAATTGTCTCTAGAAGGTGATGTTCATGACTACAGCCTGGGAAATATATAGATTACATTTGTAGATATTAAAATATATACATGTTAGCGGTATACAATTTCAATGGTGTATGTTTATATAGATTTAACATTTAATTTAAGAAGTTAACAGTGTATAACGAATTTCTAACACTAATATTTTTCACGGTTATTGATCTGGAGAATGATATATCCTGTTTCTCCTTTAATGAACGACAGATACAAAACTTCTGTCTAAACCATTTAATTACTTTGTGACGTTTTAAAATCCACCTTATACCTGATGTTATGTTTCATTAACCAACAACCGTGTCCTTTGATCATATTTCTAGTTTGTACTTTAATATTAGTTTTCTTTACATAGAAGTGTGGTGACGATTTGTCGAGTTATACCACTCCGTCTTTTTAATAATCAATAACAACAGGATCAAATCATTATTAATATTTTACTTGGATTGTGCTGTGTATCGTCGTTTCTGGTATTCCTATTGGAGAAAATAAGGGCAGTAACTCTTGGTAAGACTTTCTAAATAATTGTTACCTGATATTGTCGTCATCATGTAAGATGGTATTGAAAACAAGCGGTATATCTATAAAATTATGTTTAATATCGAATGTTTTACCACCCAGACACGTGATAAGTGCATATATAATAGTGTGTGTATCTGTACTGCCATCGTAACTTGGTAAACAGGTATTTTTACATACATGCATGTAGGTAAATCTGTCACATTGTCTATACTTGTACGATAACTTATACATGTACCTGGTAAGTGTGTTATATATTGTATACATAAACAATTGTCTTACCTGGTATAGGTAAATCTGTAATATCAGTTACATTCCATCTCAGTAGAGGTAAATCTTTTACCTACATTTTTTTTATTTCATTTTGTAATACACTGTATGTTACTTACCAAATCCCAGATTTACGAACATTCCTTAACATACACAAATAACCTGTTGTTATTTTTCCCGTTAGAAAGCTTTAGTAGAGAGAGTGAATCTCATTGTACGTGTAGATGTAGGAGGATTTTTGTCTTAACGAGACAACAGTGAGGCAGCTTATCTTTTGAAGTATCATTATGTATCTGGTTTTGGCTCATTTGACAGAATCGTTGCTGAGAAAGTGGATATTCAGCCGGTAACCGAGGTGTAAGTCCAAGTTTATAAATGTACTGACGTTTTCAACAAGTTTTTATTCACTTATTTTTTATGTTGAAATTTAATATTTCGTCCATTTTATTCACATATAAATACCGAGTCTATGACACTATGTTTTGTGAAACCTAACGTTATCATCCGTAACATATGGACTTGTGACCTCATCAATATCACTGCATGTCTGTCCATACACGAAACCACACTCTGGACGCCGTCGTTACTATGGTTACCACTTATTTCATTTCTGATTTTCGTAATTTACGAATGTATGTATGTGTGTTCATGTGATATGTACATGTAATGTGGAATTTTGTATTTTATGCCAAAAATTATGCATTTATCATCAAAAGAAATATTAACAGCGTAATCTTTTACGATCAATAATGAAAATATAAAGCTCTTAAAATGTATATAATATTTTTTTTCTTAAATGAAAGAATGATGTGTTTATAACCGTAACGATATCGATTGAAGTTAGCACACTGTCTGAATACGTTGGCAGTGGTAACACTGGTGTCCATAACAACAGTTAAGTGTATATAGGTGTATATACCAATAAATCCCAGATCTAACCCTCCTTTTACAGACAGTAAATATTCCTATATCCTCATATATGACTTAACGTTGTGTGATACACACATATATATTCCTTATACAATGACTAATACAAATAATTGTTTCAATTTTGTTTATCAGTTTGTTGACATGTTTATCTCCGTTTATATTTGCACGTGTTTTCTAACAAACAACACAAAGATAGGGAATGATAGTTTCCTTCATTGTTGAACTGTTGATAAAGAAAGCCTCATTTGCAAGACGGAAACATAAAATTTTATTCTATTTTTTTTTTAACAAAATGCCAATCTCGACATGCTAAACGAGACTTAAGTTTGTGTAATGATTGTTAAACGGTGTCATATATCTTACAGCTTCTTTTGCAGGTCGCGCATATGTACGTGCCGGACCCTTTTGGTATAGATTGCTTAAGGATATGTTCGCTTTTTATTTATTTATTTATTTATTTATTTATTTATTTATTTATTTGAAAACGAAGAGAGATAACGCTTACCCAGTTTTGATGGAATGTATTTTGGAGACAGACTGTCCTACTTTAAATCATTATGTGTATTGTTGTATTGATGTTTGATATATCTCTATTGAAACAGGAAGACATCCGGAACAGAAGGTCGACCGACGTCACCAAGTTCTCAGGATGGGGATACCAAAATAGGTGTGTAACATAGCTCATCAGAAATATAGGTCAGACTGGTTATATAGGTCACCATTATAGAGACTAGACTCGTTATAAAGGTCATCGTTATATAGGTCAGACGCGCTATATATAAATCACTGTTATATATGTCAGACTCGTTATACATAATATATATAGGTCACCGTTATATAGGTTGATAGGTGATAGGTCAGACACGTTATATATAAGTCATTGTTTATGTTTTTTTATATAGGTCACTATTTCTATTGTTTAACCTTCTAGTTAAGGTCATCGTTATATTGGCTAGTTTGCTCATTTCTTACATTTGATACTTAATTAATATAGAATATTGCTGAGATAAATATTTTGGATTTTTCCACTATTCTCACCAACACATGTCTTAATGGCTACATTATTTATCAATACTAGTGTAATACAATGTACGTTTTAGTACGGGATTATATCACAAGTAAATACTCAAGGGTATATCAGGTAGTATGAATATCGAGACATTGCCTTCGTTTTACACACTTCTAGTAAAATACATGTTTTAGAGGAAGTACTAGGGGCCACACACAATGTAATATTATGTGTATACATGTAGATATTCGTCAGATTGATAGGTCAATGACTTATGTTAATAAAAACAGTTATTAACCTATGTAGAGATGAGTGCGGGGAACTTCGTCACACTTTGATTCCATTTAACCCAATTAAGTTTGAAGTATTTTGTTTTGACGTGTAGAAATCGATAAGAGCTAAGCCATGTTTGTATTTAGTTGTGTAGGCACTGACATTTTCAAGCATTATTACAGACGTGCTTTACTTGTTTTCAGTTCGCAGTGAACAATATGCTTATTGATGTTGGAATAGAAATGTTGAAGAGTTATTTCCCTTGCTTCATAGATATCGTTCAGGAACTAAATATTTAGCTACCTTATATTACAGATGTGACCATTATGGGTCTAGAAAAAGTCCCCAGTCCTCCTCTCAGGGGGAACTGGTCACCTACAGTAACTGATATCAATCCTAAATCTGTACCGGAGAGTAAGTTGGTGACATACAAGATAAAAAAGCCACGCAACCTTGCACTAGATATGGGCATTGCCACTGGTAGCTATTTCTTCACTTCTCTCGCCTCATCTGGAGTGATTTTCTGAGGCTGATTTCTGTGACTGTATTATTGTTTGATTAGAAATTGTTTGAAAAGACTAATACTTATTATTTTAGATTTTTTCTTTTTTGGCAAAATTCAAAATTTTCACAATTGGACACAATTTCTTCATATTGAATTTGTCCCTGAATTTTTTCATTATTTCTAATTTTTTAAACTATCTAAATCCAATAAAATCGTTTTTGTGGCTTCATTTTCATTTCGGTCGTTACAACAAATTCTATTTATAAAGAAAGTATAGCCATACATGACTCTTTGTTATGAAGGAATTATCGGTTTTTAATTAAACTACTACATTAAATATACATCTCACCTCGCTCTGGTTTGATTGTGATTTTCTGTGTGTATCTGAGATTTTCTGTGTGCACCTGTGATTTTCTGTGTGTACCTCTATATATAAGTGTGTGGTGATTTCATAAAGTATATATTTCTATATTGGTTGGAATCTGTCAATGACTTGATCATAGTTTTGGAAGGGAGACAACTCTGACAAAGATCAGTCTAATATATCAAGCAAACCTTTGAATAGGTTTATGTCATGTGCTAATTATTAATATTTTAGCAATATCATTTAACAGTTCAGATCAATTTATAATTATATAACTCATTAGCCCAATTTTTATAGAGTTATTGAGCCTTATGGAAATATTTCAATAATTTCTAGATTCAGTACGTTGTAACATACATGTATGTAAATCTCAAATCTGATACAACGCATTCAGTAAATACTATAAATAATTCATTTTCATGTGCTTTTATTTTCACGAGGTTTTATTTTCACGGTGATTTATTTTCGTTGATGGATACTCTTAATCCGCGAATTCATATGACTACGAATTAATTCACTGTTCAAAACTTGACGTTGAATTCAGTGTTAAGGGACATCTTGATTGTTATTAATCCATCAAATCAAGTGTATACAATATAGTTATAGCGTGAAAAATCACACAATGAAAATCAAAGATTTTTCAGTAGTTTCAGGGCATAGAGTGTTAAGGTCGGGTCAGTAGTATCAGAAACATCGGACCATGAAGAGATGTTTAGTGGTTGATCCCATACTGAGCTGAATTTGTCCATGTTTATATATACTTTAAAGGAGAGTCAATGCCGATTTGATTTAAACATATCATTTATTATATTAACTCTATATTATCACCAATGGTATCAATGATTTAGTAAGACAGGCTGTGATCAAGTTAGCAAATGCTTTTAGCATCTATTGTATTGACAGCTTCTTAAATTAGCTTTACCTAACAATCATACGCCGCCATTAACGTTACAGGAACAATTTGCTGATGTTTTAAATAGTTCGTCTGAGGAGAAATAGAATAATACATTATTTATATAAGTGTTGGATTTACTTTCTTCAGAGGAAGACTTTAACACGTGGATACCACAGATTAGTGTAACTTATTTAGAAACCAAGTCAGGGGGAGGTAACTCCGAGAAAGGTATTACACACTGTATAACATTATTTAGTCGGATATATAGATATCTGCACTTTGTTTTATTGGTGTATATATATACGTATTTAGGAATTATATATATATTGACTGTACGAACACTTATCAAATATTGCACCTTTTTTCATTTTTTGGTAATGGGTTATATGTGTATATAGTATTAGTGTTATTCATTGGGATTTGAACAACCCTGATACCTGTTATTTGTATACAAAATATGAAAAAAAAACTTAGCTTAGTTAGTACGCGACTAAAATGTACTGTATCACGTTATGTTAAATATAAACAAAATTGAAAAGTTTCGTTGTGAAAAATCTACATTCACGGCTACAATTTTCTATAGGATTTCTCGGTGTGTGTTATAAATTACAAATGAATAAATCGATATAAGCTTGCACGGATTCAATCTGATAAGATATTCATTTTGTTTGCTCTTTATCATCATCTTTGTTGATTTGGTACATCTGTATATTAAAACATAATATTTCTAGCCACGATGACGCGTTGAACAAAATGGGTATCACGTATTTTTTCCACTTAACCTTTCTTAGTCAAAAGACGACTCTGTTTTAGGGAACAATCTCAAACACAGCATTGTGATATTTTGAAGATATTATATAGTAGAGCCATTGCGAATTATGACGATAAAACAATACATGAGAAATATTATACTTACATAAAACTATAATTGTGATGAAGATATCTTACATACTGTTACTTCGTTTGATAAGATGTATTTGTAGTAGAATTAGGATAATTCCTGTAAAAGAAACAAGGAAAAGTGTTACTATTGGAAACATACATTTCCTGCATTAAATTCAAGCATTTAACAACAATACTTATTCAATAAGTAAAAATAAGCGTTATACATCTTTATTTGGAGTCTATAACATCTGTACAATATGACTTCAATATTTCATCTTTAAGTTGACAACAGATAATCTTGGGGTAACCTTTGTCTGATCTGACGATACCATAAAACCTTCCTACATATTGTACTAGATCTCTAGTAGAACTTAGATTGGTAGTGTACATACAGAAGTATTTATTGATTAAGCACTGTATATATATTTGATATGTTTTCTTTCCAGTTGTAAACTTTCATCACTGCTTACTATTGTTGATGAAAAATAACTTTATGTAGAGTTTTGATGATGATGATGATGATGATGATGATGATGATGATGATGATGATGATGATGATGATGATGATCATGATGATGATGATGATGATCATCATGGGGTGGGGGTGGGGGTGCGGGGTGGGGTCGGGGTCTCGGGGGGTTCGGCGGAGATTATTATGGCGCTGTGATATAGTACTTATGGACGGGAGTTAAATGAGAACTGACATACTAGTATACATACTTATTCTATGTATTTCTCGTATGTCTTGTGACGTTTCTTTATGCCTGTCAATATCAAATTATTTATCTTCTCATTTGTCTTGGCTTTGTTGATATCGTCATCAGTTACTAGATAATACTGATATTAAAGTAACGTTTCCGGCTACAAAAACCAGAATTTGTTTTATATAGAATTTTATACTCAGGAGGTAGACTAATCAGCCAGATCAACTTGCTGTTTGCTTATGGAATGCCTAACTAACTAATTACCTGTGTGATTGTGTATACTCAATATTGTACCATACTTTGATTTAGATATATCATATTTGTAATTGCATTGGATGCAAAACTATCAGCTAAATGTCAAATAAAGAGAAATCTTTATATTTTTGTTATATTTATACACATATTTATATAGTTTACTTTCTTTAAACTAAGTATAAACATTGCGATTTTAAACTGTATTGAATACAATAACGAATATTGAGTAAGAAACTGAAGAATTCTGTCATTGGTGTTGACATATTTTCAATTATGAAATTCAGATTTAAATTATCAACAAATTGAAAAAATATTTTGCATTGTTTTTTTTAATTAACATTCGTTAATAATCAGATTAGTTTTAAGTTCATTGTTTCTTTACCTGTACAGGTGAGGACCTGAACAGTCTCCTTGACAACCCGGTATCAGTTGCTGATACGGTACGTATCTGAGGTGAAGTAAAGAGTAACACAAACAACATGATCAGAGAGCCAGTGTAGTTAGACAATTTGATAGGTTTTACCACTAATATATAACACCAGAACTGTTATCTAGGAGTTCCCTGTATTACCCGGAGAGAGATTTTTATAACCTGTATGTATTTTCTGAATGCAGATATTTAATTGCTTGTATGTATAATGTGGTGAATGAGATTTTTTGTTTCTGATGGTAAAATTGAGTTCAAATTAATATTTCTCACTTCTGTGGTTCTAAAACCAAAAGCAGACGAATTATTCTGATTTGTAAACTGAACTTAAATCGAACACATATTGGTCTTTACCAGCCTCATGGGTCCCTATTGTACAGCTAATGGAATTTGTTTTGTAATTTCCTTACAAATATTCCATTCATTATCATATAATGGGGAGTGATTGGATACCATAACCTATGTTTATAAACCAATACCCTTATTTGGATCAGAATATATATATATACCAGGTTAAAAGGTAATTAGCGACGCTGTCTAAAACACAATGGCCTGTACGTCAGAGTTAAAAATATCATCAAATGTATGGGAAAATAGCTCACACCATTCATAAATGGAATAAAGAAACAGGCTGTTATCAAAAATAGGTTTATTCTGTCATTTGTACACAGATGTAGCTTTCACCGTCCGTTATACACGGGAGTACCGGTACTTGTCACTGTCATCTACACACAGATGTAACTTTTACCGTCCGTTATACACAGGATACCAGTACTTGTCATTGTCATCTACACACAGATGTAACTTTACCGTCCGTTATACACAGGGGTACCGGTATTTGTCACTGCTCTACACACAGATGTAACTTCTGTCGTCCGTTATACACAGGGTACCGGTACTCGTCACTGTCATCTACGCACAGATGTAATTTTGACTGTCCTCTATACATAGTCCGCTATATTCATGTGTTACTTAAACAATCCTGTATACACATATGTTGCTTGTCACTGTCCTTTGTAAACAGGTGTTGCTCGTCATTGTCCTCTATACACAGGTGTCACTTTTCACTCTCGGCTATACACAGGTGTGGCTGTCATTCTCAGCAATACACTGTTGTTACTTGTCACTGTCCTCTATATTCAGGTGTTACTCGTTACTTTTTTCCGTATACAAGTATTATTTGTCACCGTTCTCTATATACAGGTATTTTTGTCACTGCACGTTATGCGCAGGTGTATATTGTCACTGCTTACTCTACAACCTATTTATATTCTGTACCTATAATATGTTTTTCTGGAGTTTTGAAATTAGCACAGCTCAATTAATATAATTGCTATAGAGTTGATATAATTGGCCTGACTGGTGTAATCAGTTATTTGTGTATGCTGACGTATTAACGACCTGGGAAAAAAAGTCAGGCATGAAATTAATAATAAGGTTTCAATAGTGGCCTGTAAAAGACACGATGATAGCTGGGCTACCTAATGTTAGTAATCTATTCTGATCCCAAGCAGTGAAATATTAACAAGAATTATCGATTTTTAACGTTTATCTACAAGCATTTGGCTTTTAATTTCCCACACTTAGTTTGTATGGGTGCTGTGTCAGCCTGTGGCACAAACAAATGCTAATCATTCTTGATCAAACATTTACCGGTTCCAGCAGCCTGACATTATTGATAATTGGTGTGTAGCCATTGTCAGGTCTATTTGCATTGTGTTCTGAACCAGTAAAAGGTTGCCATTTCAATACCATCTTACCAAACTTATTTTTGTAAACAAGATTTAAGCGACCACATGACGATTTAAGAACTGTGCATTTGGTTGTCATCCTAACAGAGTTTTTGGGTAAGTGTTAAAACGCCAGTCTTATACAACATAATGTAGAGTGTTTTGACGTAGGTTTGATGTTGTCGTGTTTACACGTTTGACGGGATATTTCAGTATTGATGTTTGATGTCGGGTAATGTCGCATCAGCTAAGTCTATGAAGGATCAATGCTTGTCCCATTTAAAAGAATAAGACAGGGTATATTTTCCATATTCACTGACTGACTAGATGACAAACACCATTTCCTTCAATTTCATTTTCAATTAAGGATTGTTTAAATGACAGATACTCCTTCCTGAAGATGGGCTCCAAGACGTATATAATCATTGCTTTAACTTACTCCCTAGGACACTCACCTGAAGGCTGTGGTCTTCACTGTCATTTCATTCTTGTAGTTCTTTTTCTAATGATACCAGTACTTTGAAAGTTTTCATATAATTACTATGCCTACTTATAAATCTGTGAAGCTGCGTTGAAAAAATATGGCCCCTCCCCCTCCCCAGCATGAAACTAACATTTTATTACAGGAATGTTGGGCCTCTAAACCGCTCCTGTCAGTCGAAAACAAAATAATACAGATCGAAAAAAATATTGAAACACAGTTCAATCAAATCGAACATAATCAAATTAACAGACCTGGAAAATGTTAATCACTGAAACTAAAACATTCTTATAGATCTCAGAATTAACAGAGGTAAGTACCATCTAATTAAAATGTTGTTAATTTTCAGAGGGAATCCGACACACCTGCTACTACCCTATTCTTACAGAGTACCGATACAGACCTTGATGGCACTGCCGGTCCTCCGGCCCAACCTCCCCCGACCCCGGAAATCCTAACACCAAAGGCACCCGTGGAAGAGAAGCCTGCCACAAAAAGACCTAGATCCTGTCACAAAAAGACAAAAGTTCAAATTGCCAAGACGAGAAAACCAAAAGAGGCAGAAATGGAGAAGAAAGAAGAGGAAGCTCCTAAACAGGAGACACCACCTCCTGCCCCTCCTCAGGAAGAAAGGTAAGAATATTACACATCTTAACCCCTCTTTCTCCTCTTCCTCTCCTCCTCGTCCTCTTCCCTCCCTCCCTCCTCCTCCTTAGGAAGAAAGGTACGAATATTATATTTCTTTTATAACACACCAAAACAGTAAAGATACCACCTCTCCTGCCCTTCCCCAGGGCGAAAGGTAAGACTATTATGTATCTTACCCCTCCTTCTCCTCCTCCTCCCTCCTCCTCCTCCTCCTCCCCAGGAAGAAAGTTAGGAATGTTTCCTGGTATATTTTTATATCTCACTTTATTATGATAAGCACACCAATCCTTCATCATCTCTGCCCTCTAATCGGGAAGATAGATACGAATTACAAAGTGAAACTTTCCTTCTACTATTCCTCCTCAATAAGATAGGTACAAACAGTATATATAATACATTGCAACGAGAAACAATCCTGTTCTCGGATATAAAGACAAGAATTGTGTCTAACTGTCTCTCATTACATTGGGAAACGTGACTTTGTCTCCCTCACTCTTCCCCTCCTGTCCCTCTTCGGGAACATTATGTTTCTAATGGGAAATGGTCTACCCCTCCATCTCTACCTAACGAAGAAAAGTGTTGATATTATATATCACACATAAAAACATTTTATTTCCTTCCTGCGCCCACGCCTCCTCTGGATGGAAGTTAAAGGTATCAAATAATAGTATATGAGAGTTGCCACTTCTCATAACTGTTGAATGTGGAGATATTCTTTTTGAAGTTTTCTTTCTAATGAAGACATTATTAATTGATGGACTGCAAATATAAAGTACATCACTTTTGTATGAGGCTGTCCACTTCTCATAACTGTTGAATGTGGAAATGTTTTTAAAAAATTATTCTTTTTGAAGTTTTCTTTCTAATGAAGACATTATTAATTGATGGACTGCAAATATAAAGTACATCACTTTTGTATGAGGCTGTCAATTCCCTTAGTTATTGAAGGCCGTTTCATTGCTGGTCTGCAAATGTTTTTAAAAAATTATTCTTTTATATGAGGTTGTCTGTTCCCTTAACTGTAGAAGGCCTTTTTTATATGAGCTTGTCTATTCCCTTAACTGTAGGCCTTTTTGTATGATGTTGCCTGTTCTCAGAACTGTAGAAGGCCTTTTTTGTATGATGTTGCCTGTTCTCAGAACTGTAGAAGGCATTTTTTGTATGATGTTGCCTGTTCTCAGAACTGCAGAAGGCCTTTTTTTGTATGAAATTGTCTTTTCCCAGAAGATTGAAGGCATTTTTTGTTGGAGGTTGTCTGTTCCCTTAACTGTAGAAAGCCCTTTTTGTATGAGGTTGTCTGTTCCTAGAAATGTTGAAGGCATTATCATTGACGGACAGCAATGCTTAAATGTATGGTTTATTTTATATCAGAATGTCTATTCCTTTAATTGTAGAAGGCTTTTTTATTGACGGACAGCAATGTTAAATGCATGGCTCTTTTATATCAGGTTGTCTGTTTAACTGTAGAAGGCTTTTTATTGACGGACGGCAATGCTGAATGTAGAGCCTTTACTACCGTATATCTGTGCTCTTTCATTTATTGGCTGCGGGTTTAGTTGATACCACCCTATAGTAACTATGTACAGAAACAAAACAAATCAATGGTTAAAACTAGCAGTAATTAAACATTTAGATTTCAAACAAACGGTGTATTTGGCTGGCTGATGAAAGCTGACACTGACATTTAAGCGGATATTGTAAGAGAACAAATAAATAATTGATGTTACCATTGATGTTCTGTACCTACATGCCTGATAGCTGTGTCTACTGAAAGCGACAGCTTTACGACTAAAATTGATTACGTCTATAAAGTTCCTGGAATTTGCTATATATTGGATGAAGACAAGTAAGTAGAATTGTCGTATTTTCGTCAACATTTAATATACTGATTGTGTATTATACGTACTGACACTCGAACGGTTTCCAAGTGCAGGATGTATATATAGCTTTAACGGGCTAATTCATTATTTGTTTTATTTATAGAGTGTTCACATAGCACTCTGTTCAAATGGTTGATTTGATTCAAGGATAGGAAATAGCAGTGGCCTGATATAGGGGAGATGACAGTACCCTGTGATAAGGGGATTAACAGTGCCCAAGGATAAGAAATGATAGTGGCCTGATATAGGGGAGATAATAGTGCCCAGTAATAAGGGGATTAACAGTGCCCAAGGATAGGAAATGACAGTATCCTGATATAGGTGAGATGATATTGCCCAGTGATAAGAGGATTAACAGTGCCCAAGGATAAGAAATAATAGTAGCCTGATATAGGGGAGGTAATAGTGCCCAGTGATAAGGGGATTAACAATGCCCAAGGATAAGAAATAATAGTAGCCTGATATAGGGGAGATGGTTGTGCCCAGTGATAAGGGGATTAACAGTACTCAAGGATAAGAAATAATAGTAGCCTGATATAGGGGAGATGGTTGTGCCCAGTGATAAGGGGATTAACAGTACTCAAGGATAAGAAATAATAGTAGCCTGATATAGGGGAGATGGTTGTGCCCAGTGATAAGAGGATTAACAGTACTCAAGGATAAGAAATAATAGTAGCCTGATATAGGGGAGATGATTGTGCCCAGTGATAAGAGGATTAACAGTACTCAAGGGTAAGAAATAATAGTAGCCTGATATAGGGGAGATGGTTGTGCCCAGTGATAAGAGGATTAACAGTACTCAAGGATAAGAAATAATAGTAGCCTGATATAGGGGAGATGATTGTGCCCAGTGATAAGGGGATTAACAGTACTCAAGGATAAGAAATAATAGTAGCCTGATATAGGGGAGATAATAGTGCCCAGTGATAAGGACATTAACAGTACTCAAGGGTAAGAAATAATAGTAGCCTAATACAGGGGAGATGATTGTGACCTGTGATAAGGACATTAACAGTACTCAAGGGTAAGAAATACTTTCCGCACTGGCTTAGTTTTCATCAACATAACATAAAATGATGAATCAAATATTCATAACAAACAACAAAGACTACATCTCATCAATACTCTAATACCCATAAACTTCCATTGTGTGATGGTAAACTTCAAGTCTTATATACATGAGGAGACAATAAGCTAAGGATACAAGGGGAGTTGGATATGTTTGGTTCAGAGGATGGCTTTGTATCAATTGTTCTGGAGACAGCTAGATATAGATAGTGGTCTGGATTGTATGTTTTATACGTATCCGTTTATAGTGTATCTAAATTGTTCAGATGTTATCTGTAAAAATGATACGGATGATACCTTGGTAGTGCCATCAATAATTTATATATCAGGTTGGCATTATGTCTCAGAGAAAAATTAAACTCTGGTGTTATACAGGTATGTTTTTGTAAATGAATGTTTGAAAACGGAATAACAGAAATAAACAAGTTTTAACGAAGATTTTAAAATGTTAAATAAATTCAGCTGTCGAGAATATAAAAAATAAATGTAAAAATGAGGTGAACCTATATTCAATATCTATAATTTAAATTTGAATGGAAGGATTTTCTTCATCACATATGTGTATCTGTCGCCTCTGTAGTAGATCTGAGGAACACCTGTGTATATGGCGTGTTACACATTTACACTTCGATAATATCCAGTGTCAACAAAACATTGAATTAATTCTTCCTGTAGATTAACAAATAAGAACATATCATTTGAATACATTTGTTAAGATTGGCAAATAAATAAGAATATGTTGAATACACTGCCTCTCGATCTACCAATAAATATGGTCGCTTTTGTTAGTAATTTCAATATGTTTTCGGGTCAAGCATGATTACATTTGAAATTATCATAATCCCTGGGCTGGCTCAGTCAGTGAAGATAGAAAGACACGGATCAATCAACTCTTTTAACACTTAACTCTCTAGGTGGTGTTAATACAAATATATCTTGTCCTGTCGTATCAAATATCTCCCATTATTTACCTGTGGGGCAGGTACCCTTTTCACCATTCTACCACGGAATATTTTATATACACTGTCGATATATGTATATATATATATCACCAAGATCTCATTTCATACTCTTTAAAGTTTTTCTAAAGGCTTTTATTGACGAACCTTGGCCAAGCTCCAATTTCCAACCTTCCTTTTTATTTCGTTTCTGCAAAAACAGGCCATAAGAAAAGAACATCGTTTTGTCTGAAAACAAATGTTTAAACCAATTATCATTGTATAAGATAATCACCGAAACTACAAATAAAACAAAGACATAACTTATCAGATTAGGTATTTAAGGTCTTCTGACGAATTAGTGGATAGTGAAGGTTATATGAAATATGTAAGTACAGGTAGGTTCTATTGACAAATGTTTGTAGAGATCACACGCAGTTTTGTATGGTATAATAAACCATGTTACTAAGGCATACACCATATACCGTTCACGCACGTTGCAACTAAGTCATCTTGTGTCTCTCGTCTACGACTAAAGACAAACAGACCCGTGGTAGATTTTAACGAGAACCCTCTCAATATAACTTGACAGGTGAGAATTGTTCAAACTTTGAATCGTGACCATGTGTTGGGTGTAGTAGTGTTACGGTGACATTGCTTAATGTGACTAGTTTTCGTGTTGTCTGGGAGGAGGGCAATATCTACCTATTGGATTGTAAATCCAAGTTCTCCTTCGGCGGTTCCTGGATTAATACTCACACAGGTACTGTAATTTGGAAACTATAGATTGGCTTTCTGGAACATACATATACTGCATACATTTGTAATATCTGAAATATAAATGGTGTTCGCTGAACAACATTCCGCGAGATTTTTGTTAAATCATTCCTGTTATAACTTTTAAGTTGTATCATATATTGGCGAGCTTTTGGTTCAAGCACAGATTAATATTTCATTCTCTCGAGTAGTGTTTTCTTAATTTTTCAATCAGGTATTGTTTTTTATTGGAAGTTTGACAAACCGTTATATTAAAAGTGATAATACCTCATTGTATTAACAATTCTAATCTTAAAAATGTTACATTAATCAATAGCAGGGA